CCTAAAAAGGGAGGGCTCCATTGGGGACAAGGTTCAAGAGGGACAGGTGTTCAGCTTATGAGACAGAAGCATCCAAGAACCCAGAGGCGCAGAAACCGATGACAATGAGGGGCCAGGCAGTCCCTAACCACCTGCAACACAGAAAGGTGTTTCCACCCGAGTTGGTCCTGTGTGCTAGCTCACACCCTCAGAGAAGTATTTCAAGGAACAACCTGTCTCCTCTCTGCACACTGGGTAAGGCAAATGCACAAAGATATTGTCATTGTTTACGATCTACAATAAACACTTTCTCTAGCCTCAGTCAGGACTGAAGCTACAAAAGTGGGTGGAAACACCCCCCATGAATTCTGTGGGTGAAGAGGAATTACTTGAGGTGGGCAAGGACCGTGGCCTTTACAATACCAATGTTTGCCATTGGGATAAAGATATGGGGACCGAACGGCAAACCTCAGTGTATGCACATCAGCGAGTATGTAAATCACGGAGCTACTGAGTTGAAATTAGAGTCTCCTGAGAAGTGTGAAGATATGTGATAAAGCCACAAAGGATTATGGGTTAACTTTGTTCCCCCCATTTTAACACTCAGAAGGAACATGCTGTGCATTGGGCTGTTTAAACACAGAACAGCTGAACTTTATTATGTTTCCTTTTAATATCAGCTTCCTTAACTAGGTTACAAGTTGGGCTTCTGTTTCTGGAAGCTAGGCAGAGACTAGCTGTGTAACATCTTGTGAGCAGTGGTCTCTTTGGAGACACAGGAACGTGACTGGCAGATCCTTGGGGCAGAGAGTTCAGGCTCGGGAACAAAATCATGCTGGCCATACAGTTTTTGTGAAGTCATATTTTGGTGGGAGGAAAGAAATGCAATTAAACAAGAATCAAGTAGATGTATAACTGGAAATGAGGAGACTACTCTCAGGGGGGAAAGCATGCTGAAACACTGTGCTCACTTAATGAGAATGATCTGTTACAACAGTTGTGAGCTGTAAGTGCTAGACCAGGATGTTATATTCTCTGTTACCCTGAGTGTCAGTGTAGGTGTCTGAATGCAGTAGGTCAGTGGTCGGCAAACTGCAGCTCTCAAGTTTGAAGAGGGAGAAGCAGAAAACACATGTGGCTCAAGAGCCGCAGTTTGCTGCTCTGTTGACTAATGAGTTTGCGGACCACTGACCTAGACTCTGGATTCCAATAATTACAGGCTGTTATTGTTCCTTGTGATTAAGCCCCTATCCAGTGGTTGGCAAACTCATTAGTCAATGAAGTGTCAAACAGAAGCTCTCGAGCCACAGTTTGCTGACCACTGCCACTAGGTTTATAATGGAAGCCTGCCTTGACTCCCCTTGGAAGAGTCATAGAGTATTTACCTGGGCAAGACCTACCGTATTTTTCGGACCATAAGACGCACCAGTTTTTAGAGAAGGGAAATGAAGAAAAAAAGATTCTGAAACAAATAGTGTCCTAAAATATTTTATGTGCATTAAAATCCAACATCACAGTCATAAACACATATAATCAACCCTGTAAAGTAAACAGCAGCATTTAGAACCATTTTAGAGCCGGGCAAGTAAAAAAACTTTTTTTTTAAAGTATATGTGTAGGCTATATTTGGACCATAAGACGCAGGGACTTTCCCCCCCCACTTCTGGGGGGGAAAATAGTGCGTCTTATGGTCCGAAAAATACGGTACTTTAATCCGAGACCCTGTTTCAGATCCGTGCTGAAACTGTATGCCTCATGTCTATTCTTAGCATTCAATTATAGTGCACTGCTACGTTTCTTAACCATTGGAAGTACTGTTCCCTCTTGCCTCTATTGTTAGCTTGGACAGGAAAGATGCTTAGTAAGGAGAAAGGGAAGAGAGAGGGAAGTTTCAATGGCTAAGGATAAATAAGCAAGAAATCTTAAAAGTGAGAATGAAATGTTTGAATATGATAAAGAAAACAACAAGCTGTTGTCTGCAGATTGAGAAAAAAAAAGATTGTTAGATTAGAAAGGATTTTCAAAGGGGGATTTTTGTGGAAGAGGGACCATATCTAGATTGAAAGCAACCAGCACCCGGGGAAAGTATTTTATTTTTGCAGTGAAATAGAGAGTTGGTGTTTCAAGAAGTTGGGTAGATGCGGGGGTGGAAATAAAATCATTTTCTGTTTGAGCCTCCAGCTAAGTACGTTCTGCTTGTAGGAGAAGCTTGGCTAGAGGTCACCAGGGACATCTCTGCGACAGAAGCATCACAAAGCAGAGGGACAACCCTGTGGTCTTCATTAAGGATCGACTCCGGACACCAGCTCTGAGAGTATGCTATAAGAAGAGTATAGCACTGAGACACACCATCAGGGAGAAGCAGAAAACGGATGCCATGGTTTTGACAGTGATTCCCAAACATACATTTGGAGCAGCCTAAAGGGACTCTTCCTAGGGAGGGCTCTCATTTGCAAACTGCCCCTCTTAGAGCAGTGGTGGATATGGCTGGGAATGCAATGGAAGGTCACACGCACTCAGCTGATCTCAGATGGCATCACAGGGATAATGCATTGTCTACCTGGGCCATCTCTATCAATCACCATTGTTTATCCCACACACCCTCAGTGGACCACAACAGAAGCATTGGCAGAAGGACGGAATGAAGAAACAAAGGTCTTGAACTTAAGGCTTATGAATGGAGCTAGAGAATGAAATGTGAATGAAAATATACAATAGCACTAATAATGCTGATATAAAACATGCAAGTAAGGGAACATGCAGTACTACCAGGCATGCTTACCTATACATAACCATACACACACACATGCAGGAATGCTGAGGAATTGCAAACTTGCCTTAGCTAAGTGGGGTCAGATGGTTGGTCAGAATGAGCATCAATGAAAGGTGTGCTTGCAGGGCTTTTGAAGAGGGTGGGCGGGGAAGGTGGTGGGTCATGCTGAGGGGCAGGGGGTTGCATGCACAGATCACACAAGGGACAGAAGCAATGTTGTTAGGCTGTCTGGATGCTTGCAAACTGGACTGCCAGGGAAGGAGGGACATAAACTGGTGGCTGATGAGAGAGGGCAGCTTCTCCACAACTGGAGGCAGCACCCCAGGAGGCCAGTTGCCTATTGGGTTTGGACTACACTCCTTTAGGTTACTTAAAAGAAGTCACTATCACACATGCCCCTGGAGGCCCGGCACCAAGGACACATGTTGACACTGAAATGCACTTTCTGAGATTCCACCTGGGCATGGTAGCATAGGAACCACCAACACAGAGAACACAGACAACCAGGCGATACATAGAGGCAGCCCTTGGTTTCACCAAGAAAGAGAAAGCTGCATCAGATAATAATTCAACGACTTGAAAATTACTGAGAAGATATCGAAGCAGAGACATCTTTTGTGGATCAGAGGAGGTTCCATGTCAAATGCATTAAGCAGAGATGAAGAAGGAGTTGAAAGTTTGGAATGAGGATGGCCATGTATGGGGATGCTGTGATTAATGCCAATTAAGTAAAGCAGACGTTCTACCATCATTTCAGAAGATGAAATATGTAGGAAACAAGCCCTTTCTTGCTTGGAGTTCGGAGGTCTGGTTGGGGGTCATGAGGCAATTTTTTTCTGTGCCTCATTAAAACGGACGTGGAATGTTCCAAATGCTTTCCCCAGATCCAGACATTCCTGGGAAAGAGAGGCAGGTTCCTGCCCATCCTTTCCAGGCAGTGACATGTAGAAGGAAATGACTCCCCCAGACCAGCAATCTGGATTCCGCCTCCCACAGAGAACCGTGGGAAGCCAGCTCTAGCTCAGCCCAGTCAGATCCAGGGCTGGCAGACACTCTCCTCTCTCTCCTCTGAGCAACAGCCTAGGTTTTCTGGTCCTCAGCACTTATTTCCTTTCCACCGCTCTCCCTGCGGGTTTTTTGAGGGCAGCAAGTGCTGTTTCACCCTCTCCTTTTGCAGCCTGCGTGCTTGCTTGCTTTCAAGGAATGCAAAGGTTGGCTCCCAAGGTCTATCCTGCGTGCTTCCATCTGCTTTCTCTATTCAGCTCTTGAGGGAAGCTCTCACTAGCTATATATCCTGGTTCCATTTCCTGCCCTTCCTTTTGTGGAGAGCAGCCAGGAAACTCCTCCTGGTGGGGTTTTGGGGTCTAGGAACGGCATTACCGCTGCAAAACTGACGAGTTGGGATATATTTTACTTTACTTCTCAGTTGGAAAAGGCCCCATTAAATAAACCAACCTACAAAAAAAGATGAAAACAAAACAACAAAAAAGCCCAGGATACCTCAAAAACAATGAAAACTAAATCAGAACAACCCCCACTGGAAACCCAAACCCCATCCAACCTCAAATAAAAGAGTCACTGGATACGAGTAATGCAATCGCTGTTAGAGGCGGGAATGAGGTCTGTGGGCTGCACCTCAGCCTGTCACAGGCAGTTATGAAAGATGTCATTTAATTCGCTTAAAAAAAAAGCTGTAAAAGGCAGATTGGATAGTTGTATTTTAGCAAATGTGTTTGCACTAAGGGTACCTTCTGTTGAACAGTTCTGCCCACAAGCTGTCTGTAGAATATAGAACATCTCTCGAGCATGCTTGCCACCTTGAAGCAGGGCAGTCGGGAGCAGAAAAAAAAAAGAACAGAATGCAGAAAAAAGGTGAAGAAAAGGAGAGAAATGAAGGACAGCAAGTCTAGTACCATCAATACATTTAGAAATGAGATTAGCCAAGTGTGACAATAGAATTTAAATGACACACAGAGAGACACTAAGATTGCAGTAAATAACGGACTATGGAAAATCCAGCCAGAGAGCACTTTCTGTTCAGCTTAGCTACAGAGTCGGAACGAAAGCACACGTCTATTACTCATTTTACTGGCTCTTTTGCATTCCAGCACTGCGTGTTTCAATCTTAGCACTGGTCATTAGTGTTTTTTTCTTAATTTGTTTTGTTTTGTTTTGTTTTGTTTTGCTAGTTGCTCCAAACTCTCAATGATCACAATGCCCCACACAGCTCTGGAGGACTCAAACTTACCAACTATGTCAAACCACAGAGGGGTGTTAGCTGGCTGCACAGACACAACCCCCACAATCTCAGTGACTCTATCGCTCTCCATGACTGTGAAGTTATAAAACGGCTCATCGAAGGTTAGCGGTATAGACGAAGGGGGTGGTTTTTTGATCCATTCAATGTGGAGACGGGCCGTGGAGGATTTCTGTGGGCGCCCATTGTCCACTGCCTTTATCTACTCACACACGGAGAAAAAACAGAAAGATGTCTTAGAGCTCGGATCCTCTCGGATGTTTGGACCTGTCACTCATACATTGTTGAGCTGAATGCACATACTCATCACAGTGTCAGCAAAGGGAAGAAGAGAGTGGAGGTTTGGGAAGAATGAGCTCAGGAACGGGAAGGGAAACAGCTTCAAGTTGGTCTCCCGGGGGGCCCCGTGGCACATTCACCGGAAAGTGATTTGGACCACAGCCAACCTTATAGATGTGGAAAACTTGAAAAAAAAAATGTTGCACTTACAATTCTTAGCTTTTTATTGTCATGAGTGATAGATACATGAGTAGAAATAGCTCTTTTGATTCTTTATACCTCGGAGGGTGATGCTGGAAAGGGAATAAAGCACATTGTGAACCTCTGCTTAAGTGTGAATGAAGTGTGTGCACAGGTGTGTGTGTGTGTGTGTGTGTGTGTGAATGGTTATGTTTTGCAGCTCCCTCCTTCTGCTTTATTGTGGAGAAGGATTCCACTCCCACAGTCCAGGGCAAGTGGAGTAGGTGTGGGAAGGCAGCAGTCTTGCTCTATTTGCCTCAGAGGCCCTTCAGTTATTCCAACTGACTGATGGTGAAGACTTCTCTTGATGAGAGCATGGGCAGTGGAATGGAAGAGAGATCGTTAATGATTCTTCTATATAGTCTGATGTAAAAGCCAAGGAAAGCATGTCTCCTCACCCATATGTGCAGGGTTAACTGCTATGGTATCCTAGACTTAAATTGGGTGTGGGGGGTGGGGGAAGGAGGGGGAAGGTAAGTCACCAATGAAATAAAAGAAAAACAAAGGGCTTAAAAATATCAGACTGAAATGAACATTTATAGATGCATGGGTAATAGTGACTGCCTTTAGACACAGTGGCAACTCCTAGCTCCCTAGTGCTCTGTATTTATGGATGACCACTTTGCCCTGGAAAATTCCTGTTAGAGGGAGGATCCTTGAAGATAGATGTCTTAGGTCAGATTCCCTAGGAGCAGATCCCGAGACAGGGATTTGAGTACAAACGATTTTTGGGTAGAGGAGAAGTGTTTTCAGGAGGAAGGAAGTGAAGAAAGCAGGATGGATGGGGGAAGATGTTAAGCAAGGATGTGGTCTCAGTTAAACTCTAATCTCAGCCTTATCCCATAGGGACCTTGGGATCATTAACTGCACCACCGATCTGGATCCACCTGGAGGCGAGGGGGTTGGAGTTTTGTATGAGGTGCTGGTTAGTCATTGGTTGTGGGCTGCTGGGCTGGGGTGGGAATGCGGAACCAAGAAATTCAGTCAAGGAAGACTCTCTGGAGAAGAGGGCAGCTCTGAGCCCTTAGCGGCCAACATCCAGTCACATCAGTTTGGGGAGAGCTGCACCAGCCTAGTAGAGGGAATCTGGATGGGCACCAATGGCATCTGCTGCAGTCCATGCCATCCTCACAGATTCCCATTGGCTAGTCTCCCACACCTGCAAAAGTACTTACTACATCGGAGCTTCTCATGGTACAAACAAGGCTAGCTTTTTTAAATTTTTATTATTATTATCTTCTCTTCTCTGCCCACTGTTCTGGATGCATTACCGAGCAGAGAAAGAACCCAAGTCCAGAGAATAGGAGTGAAAATATAAATTAAGGGACAAAGGGCATTGTGTAAAAGAATAAAGAATGGACTGTATCCAGCAGAGAAGTTTGATGACTAATAGAAAGATGGCAGATGGTGCTAACCCATGCCATTTGTTGGGTCCCTAGAAAGTGCCCATCATTTGTAGGATGATCAGTCCTCTTTCTGGCATGTCTAATGTGGTTAGGGATCGGGGGAGCAGGCTGGCATCTTAGACATGGGAGTTTAAGTCTCTGTTTGAGATGGTGCTCATGTCTGTTTTTAATTTTCTAACACTGAAAATTTGTCACTTTTTACTTAAGGTTTTTTCCCCTTCCACTTTGTAGAGAATAAGCATAACTGTGATTTGTGTCTCACAATTCACAGTTCATGTTCTATCGCACTGTCAACAATTGTAAGAGTTGTTTTCTTTGGAAATTCTTGGAGACACATTGAGTGATGCTGAGTAGCAGGTGGGATGTGTCACTCTGCTATTCCCCTACCCTCCAGTTTACATCTATGCACAGTACCTTGAAACAATTTAGGGTTACAGGGAATGTGCTGAGTGTGTGGTGGAGTAGGATGTAGTCTGGGATTTGCGGATAGGAAACAACCAAGGAAAATAGTATCACTATTTTAAGGATCCTGAAACAGAGGTAGCCTTCCACTATTTTTCACTCTCAAGATTTACTATTTAAATAAATATACATGAATGAGAAAGTGACTCCCTCCCCCTTATTGATGTTATTGAGGTTCAGAAAAATCTTACCGTTAGGATGTCATAACTCCCCGCTGTAAATTGCTTTCTGGAAGAAACCATTCCAGTTTTAGGGTCAATAAAGAACTTCCCGTCATCATTCCCATCCACTATACTGTAGGAGATTTCGGCATTGGGGCCCTCATCTCTATCAAATGCAAAAGCTCTATAAATGGGTTCTCCCCTTTTCTTCCGGTCACGTTCTGGTAGCTTGATCTGGTAGACCTTCTCGGGGAATTGGGGCTTGTTGTCATTTTCATCCAAAACCTGGACCACCACCCAAATGGTTGACTGTTTTGGAGAGGAACCGCCATCGGAAACTGTCACCTGAGATTTGAAAGAGAAAGCATTTTGCAATCAGAAAGGAGAAAATCTCTTCTTGCCACTCTTCTTCCTGCTCCCCCACAAAAGGTCTATTCTGCCTGTACTCGAGAGCATCTCAACTTTTCCTATTCCTGAAGTTCATGTCCAAGGCATTGCTCTTCATAGTTCATACACAGAGGGAGAAGTAGTGGAAACCATCGAGGAAAGGCAAGGAGAGAGAGGCAAGACTCTCATGGTGTGGAGTGAAGAGGGAGAAGAAATAGGACTTCTTTACAAAATGTGCCACCTTATGCAGACCTAGTGGACCTATCCTAGGCTCCCCTCAACAGACACAATAGACATGATAATTAGTATATGATAACCCATGAGTGTTTCTTCTAATCCTTGGACAATGCTATCACCATTCAAATTTATTCACTCTTTTTATTTTTATTTTCTTTCTCTTTTATCTTCATGTAAAATTTGTAAATTTTGCATTGTGAATGGATAAAAGGGAAACTGTGATATATACTTTACAATTCTGTTGGTACACTTGAAATATGTTTAGGACAGTCAGAAAATAACTTTTATTTTCCTCTCTGGAAAATAGGAGGAGAAAGGATACCCCTTCCCATATTTGTGAGATGTGATTCTTATGTATATTTGTAAACACTGAGAGAGAGGAGATAAATGAAGAGCATACATATAAAAATTTGCACGGCAGATATAAAAAGTCTTTGAGTCTTAACTGTGAATGATCTTCTTCTTGGTCATAGTGATGAGAATTATTAACAGATTAATACTTAACATGTGGGTGGTGGCACAGTAAATAAAGCACTCTTCCTTGCATTATTTCATTCACTTTCCAAAATGCCCACTTTAGTAAGTGAACAGGTTTATTTATTTCCATTTTACAGATGAGAAAATAGAGGCACAGAGGTCCCATTGTTACTAAGTGCCATAGCCCAAGTATTGAATTTTTGGCAATTCTGCTTTACCACAAAATCTGGAAGAACCTATATTTAATTATTTTTTTTCTTTTTATCCTCACCGGAGGATATTTTTCCATTGATTTTTAGGGAAAGTGGAAAAGAGAGGGAAAGACAGAGAGAAATATTGATGTGAGAGGAAAAGATCAATTGGTTGTTTCCTGCACCAGCCCCTACTAGGGCCCAGGCAGAGGAGGACACTGCAACCAAGTACATGCCTTTGACCGGAATCAAACCCGGTATCCTTTGGTCCGCAGGCTGACACTCTATCCACTGAGCAAAACCAGCTAGAGCCCTATATTTAAACTTTAAGTAACTACCTTGAATACAACAGCTTATTATCGATAGTTCAAAATATGTATTTGGAGACTGGAGGGAACATGAAGATGCACTTGTTATCAATAGGAGGGGAAAAACAACAACAGTGAATTATAGAACCTGGCCATCCAATTTTTTCACCTAATAATCCAAACTGACAGGAATAACGGGAAAAAAGTCCCCATATTTGGTAAAACAAATTAAAGACTTTTTGCAAAACAGAACTGCAAACTAATTTAGTTTTTCTTACAAGCTGCCTAGGAGGATGGCTTTAATAGATTTAAGGTACATTTTCAGAGTTCTTGCTCTCTTTGAAAAATCAATCAAGTTTCCTTCCAAAGTTATTTTCCCCATTGGTTTGCTAGGAGTCACAAAAGAAACACATCAAGACCAATATGTTCCAAGGCTGGATTTTGACTTTTGAGCTAATTTCTGGACACGCTGAGTTCCAAAACAGGCATGTTCTGCTGCTGCCAAACTAAAATGTTATACTCCCAGCCGAGCCATGTTGACCGAAACACATTGATTTCTTGGCTTTTCAATTCCTCTGCCTTTCTTTTTTGCTTGAACAGCCTCTCTCCAAATCCAGACAACCCTCACAGTCTTCACCTCCTCACCGCTTGTCAATAAATGCCCATAGTCAGCTCCAAGATGGAACTCTGGTGCTGATTCAGGTCCAGGTGGCTGGCAAGGGAAAGAGCGACTCTCCTGGCTATGGCTCACTGCTCACGTAAGGATCCTGCTGTTGTAAAAATGTTTTCCTTTGGCATGAACCTGGACTGACAAACCCAGGTCCTCAAGGTGTGTGTAAGCAGGGAGGAGTAGCAGTTGCATGGGCTCATGAAGCAGCTCCCAGGGGTGTTATTGGAGAGTTGGGTTACCTACATCACCGCCTCACCTCAGGTACCCACCTCTCATTCCCTCAGGCTACACAGGCCCTTGAACACACCCTACCATCTCAGAGCTTTTGCACATGCCGTCTTCCCTCTCTGGAGTGGTTTTCCCATCCCTTCACCCGGGTCTTGTCTATTGGTTAGATGAAATGTCACTTCCTAAAGGATTCCTCCCCTGACTCCATAGACCAAGTGCCAGTCCCTCCTCTATTTCCATCCTGAACTGTGTACTGTTAAAGTGCCCTGAGTACTTTTCTTTTGTAGTACTTATTGTTGTGAAAATTAACTATTATACATACATGATTCTCCAACCTAAGCTGATAGGCTGCATTAGGGCAAAGCAGACTTTGCCTTTTTTGTTCACTGCCCTCACCCATGTCAAGCCACACAGAACATGTTCCACACATGCTTACTTAATGAATCAGACTTTAATTCAACTCCTACTTGAACAATCTCTTTAACTAAGACAGTCTCACCTTGTAAAACCTTCATAGGTCATTCAAGGCTCTTTATAACATCACTAGAATCTGCCTTTCCTGCCTTTAGTCTTTAACCACCCCCATGGCTCCAATCACCACCTATGTGCTGATAATTCCCCAGTGTGTATACTTGTGCCTAAGCCTCGTCCCCCATCTCCAAACCAACATGTTCAACTATTTATTAGGAATGTATGCTCTGTCCCTCACACATGTGCCCCAATACTCCCAAATAACAGACTGAAATCATTATTCTCAAACCTCTTCTCCTGTTTTCATTGTTTCAATGAATGATACCTCCATCTACTCACATACTGGTCCATCCATCTAGAGAATCTTTGATATCCATCTAGAGTCCCTGCTCTGTCTATCCACATCTAACTAAACTTGGAAGCCTTCAGGTATCTCTCATGTGCAGCCGCTATGCCAATCTCATCTGCCTCATTGCCCTATGGACAAGCTTCATTTACATCTTGCTTGGATGACTATATTAGTCTCCTGGTCTCCTTGCCTCTGGCATTCACCTTTGTTATAATGTATTATTTCCTCCTCAAAATTCTGATCTGTAAATCATTCTTCAGGGGCTCCTTGAGGACAAGGAACTGGCCTTATCTGTCACCAGATTATTACTATTTTCTCTTTTCCCTCTCTCTAAGCTCAGTTACTCTGTCAGCTTGGGAGGTCCTCAGTCTGCCATGCTCTTGCATCTCCATCCTATGGCACAGCTGTTTGTCTGCATAGAATGCCTTCTGTTGAGAATACACATGACTCATTCTAGAAGCATCTATTCAAACACCCCTTCTTCTACAAAATCATTCCTGTGTCCTGCACCATCACCATATTCCGACTCTACTGTGTGCATAGATCCAGGACCCTAATTATCATCTTGCATTTTTATATGTCTACTAGAGGCCTGATATATGAAATACATGCAAGACTAGCCTTCCCCCCGCCCAGCCAGCACCGGCTTCCCTCTGGCACCCGGGACCCATGCTTCCCTAAAAGCCCTGGCTTTGTCAAGAAGGTCACCTGGAAGGACGTCCAGTCTAATTAGCATATTATGCTTTCATTATTATAGATTAGCTGGTTGGTCTTCATTCAATCATTTCAGACCATGAGCAACTTGAGATCAGGACCTGTCTCTTACTAATCATTATGTTCTGGCAGCTGGCAGAGCTCTACGGGCCAAAGAAGTGTTGTTGAATAAAATTAAGAATTAATTTACCCAAAACTCTTTCCTATGATAATTAATGGAGAGCATATTCAGATACTAAAGGGTCTGTCTCTGTTTCTTCATCTGTAACAAATAAAGAGGTTAATAATGTATTATCTTCCAAGTGTTTCTCAGTCTTTGATTCTATGAATGGGGGTCAGGTAGAGAGATAGACAAAATTTCAGCCATGCACTCTAGGGTTTATATGTCACTGAGAACACTACTAATCCTATGATTACTCATAATGATTTCTAGCCAATTCAAAAACTGAGCTGGCCACTTATCTACAATCTACTGAAATGATTTATTCATGTGTTTGGCTCCTTCTGTTCACTGTGAGCTACTCAAAGGCAGGGACCTTGTCTTTTGCATCTCTTTCCTGGAACCTGGTGTACTCTTAATAATGTTGGCTGAACTGAACTACACCATTGCTAACCTCAAAGTCTTCTTTATTATTATTTCTGTGAAAACTAAGAACACAAAGCTCATTTAAAATGTATTTGAGAACTAGAAAGAGATAACTCTCACACACATTCCATGCATACTACTGACCCCAATAGAAAGAGATATGTACCCTGTATCGCCAACAGGAAGTGATACCACATTACTACCTCAGCAGGAGAAAGAAAAGATTCCTCCTTGCCCAGTAACATCTCAGCCAAAGGGAATAAAAAGACACACACACACACACACACACACACACACACACACATATATATATATATATGTGTATATATATATATATATATATATATATATATATATACACGCACACACTTTCCTCCAACAGAGTCTTTGTTTACCTCACCACCTCTGAGTCCATAAAATAGCATTCCATCTTCCTCTCCCCTTTATTTCTCTGGTCTTGTGTGTGGTTCACCTTTAGATCACCTGCCCCAAATTACAATTCTTCCTTGTTTTCAAATAAACCCATCTTGCTGGAGAAATACCTGGCAGCCTATTTGTTTAAGGTCAACGTTTTTCTAGAATCATGCATGTGTCTAGATTTTTGTACCTGGAATATTAATCATTGATGTTTTCATCAGATCCTTAGACTTTGTATTTAATACTGCCATTGGCCTCAGGCCATCATGAGAAATTAGCTTATATGGGAGAAGTAGCACTAGGGACTGAA